CTTTTGGGGCACGCGCCACGCGCTCCCTATCAACCCGATTGAGCCCAGACCCCTCAAAGGCACGTCGCGCATCCTTGATCTATGAGTTGTGCAAATTTCACCGGGCTAGGTGCAACGGTCTGGCCTGTAGTCCACGCAAAGCACGACCAAGTCGGGACCTCGGTAACGGACAGACGCACCCTCCTCAAATAGTAATATAGACAAGCGGCTGCGCCACTTGCTTCGCGGCGTAGCCATAAAATGCGGCAGCAGCCAATTTGCTTTCGAATGGTGTTTGATTTAAATTGATCTGTCGTCTGGAAGCAGAGATATGGACGGAAACGTACAGAGGAAAATTTTGAACATAATAACTTAGTTGGATGAAACTTGGGTCATATGGGGTCGAGTCAGGTCAAGTTGGCCATCCCTGGTCACACTGGGTCAGGCCAGGTCACCTTCGGTCAGGCCAGGTCGTATAGGTCACCACGTCACATTGGATCGGCCTGTACCACACTTATTCTACTTCTACCCATACCACTACTCCTACAACTACCCCTACCACTACCCCTACCACTACCCCTACCACTACCCCTACCACTACCCCTACCACTACCCCTATCACTACCCCTACCCCTTCCCCTACCCCTACCCCTACCACTACCGCTACTACTACCCCAACCACTACTACTGCCCCTACCACTACTACTGCCCCTACTACTACCCCTACTACTACCCTTACCACTACCCTTACCACTACCCCTACCACTACCCCTACTACTACCCCTACCACTACCCCTAATACTACCACTGCCCCTACCGCTACTCCTACCAATACTACTACCACCACTATCGCTGGGTCATGTGAGGTCACAGACTATCATATAAACTGATGAACTAAAAAAAGAGTTCCTAACCCTGCTCCTGCTCGTGTCATTTCATTATTCTTAATCGTATTTGGTGGAAATGGTGCCTTGAGACAAATGTGGCGTGTTGCGACAAACGTGGCGCATTTGTACCTGTCATTTTGTCATGCATCCTTCCACCAAATTGCACTTTAATCGGACCATATTTGACAAAGTTTTGCGGTTAGTGACAAAAATGGCGCCTTGTGACAAACGTGGCGCATTGCGGCAAACCCGGCGTATTTATGTAGTCGTATTAAAAACTGTTTTTATTTACCAAAAATCAACATCTTCATTCGCCTCTGTTTGTCAAAATAAACAACTTGCCAATCTGCAAATGAGAGGCACCCGCTGCCGATCGTCATGCATTTTAGCTGCAAAGTCCATTGAACCCGGCTGCCAATGCCTTGAAGAATGAGCAAAATTCTGAGGAAATGCGCACTTTTCCAGCGCGTGTCACGTGCGAACCATCCACCCCCCGGGACTCGAACCTCGACACTGCACGTGCGTGTGACGTCATCAACACCCTGCGAAAATTTCAGCCCCCTCGACCGCACCGTTTGACCTGTGCACGGCGTCGAAGCACCCCTCTGCACGGTGCAAACACACAGACAGAAACACAGAAAGACAGAGTTTCATTTCACAAATAGTATAGTAGACAAGCGGCTGCGCCACTTGCTTCGCGGCGTAGCCAGAAAATGCCGCACCAGCCAATTTGCTTTCGAATGGTGTTCGATTTAAATCGGTCTGTCGTCTGGAAGCAGAGATATGGACGGAAACGTGCAGAGGAAAATTTTGAACATAACAACTATTCTGAGGGCTTAGTTGGATGAAATTTGGGTCATACGGGGTCAAGTCAGGTCAAGATGGTCATCCCTGGTCACACTGGGTCAGGCCAGGTCACCTTCGGTGAGGCCAGATCGTATAGGTCACCACGTCACATTGGATCGGCCTGTACCACACTTCTACTACTTCTACGTCCATACCACTACTCCTACCACTACCCCTACCACTACCTCTTCCACTACCCCTACCACTACCTATACCACTACCCCTACCCCTACCCCTACCCCTACCACTACCCCTACCACTACCCCTACCCCTACCCCTACCACTACCACTACCCCTACCCTACCCCTACCCCTACTACTACCCCACTACTACTACCCCTACCACTACCCCTACTACTACCCCTACCACTACCACTACCCCTACCCCTACCCCTACCCCTACCCCTACCCCTACCCCTACCCCTACCCCTACTACTACCCCACTACTACTACCCCTACCACTACCCCTACTACTACCCCTACCACTACCCCTACCAATACTACTACCACTACCACTACCACTACCCCTACCAATACTACTACCACTACCACTACCACTACCACTTCCACTACCACTACCACTGGGTCATGTGAGGTCACCTCATAAAAGAGTTCCTAACCGTGCTCCTACTCGTGTAATTCCATTATTCTTAATCATATTTGGTGGAAATAGCGCCTTGTGACGAATGTGGCGCATTGCGACAAAAGTGGTGCATTTGTTTCTGTCCTTTTGTCATGCATCCTTCTACCGAATTGCACCTTTATCGGACAATATTTGACAAAGCTGTGCAATTTGCGACAAAAATGGGGCCTTTAGACAAACGTGGCGCATAACGGCAAACACGGCGCATTTGTGTTAGCGCAGTGAAAACTGTCTTTATTTACCGAAAATCAACACCTTCATTCGCCTCTGTTTATCAAAATAATTAAGCTGCCGATCCGGAAATGAGAGGCACCCGCTGCCGATCGTCATGCATTTTAGCTGCAAAGTCCATTGAACCCGGCTGCCAATGCCTTGAAGAATGAGCAAAATTCTGAGGAAATGCGCACTTTTCCAGCGCGTGTCACGTGCGAACCATCCACCCCCGGGACCCGAACCTCGACACTGCACGTGCGCGTGACGTCATCAACACCCTGCGAAAATTTCACCCCCCTCGACCGCACCGTTTGACCTGCGCACGGCGTCAAAGCACCCCTCTGCACGGTGCAAACACACAGACACACAGAGTTTCATTCTACAAATAGTATAGTAGACAAGCGGCTGCGCCACTTGCTTCGCGGCGTAGCCAGAAAATGCCGCACCAGCCAATTTGCTTTCGAATGGTGTTCGATTTAAATCGGTCTGTCGTCTGGAAGCAGAGATATGGACGGAAACGTGCAGAGGAAAATTTTGAACACAATAACTATTCTGAGGGCTTAGTTGGATGAAATTTGGGTCATACGGGGTCAAGTCAGGTCAAGATGGTCATCCCTGGTCACACTGGGTCAGGCCAGGTCACCTTCGGTGAGGCCAGATCGTATAGGTCACCACGTCACATTGGATCGGCCTGTACCACACTTCTACTACTTCTACGTCCATACCACTACTCCTACCACTACCCCTACCACTACCTCTTCCACTACCCCTACCACTACCTATACCACTACCCCTACCCCTACCCCTACCCCTACCACTACCGCTACCACTACCCCTACCCCTACCCCTACCCCTACCCCTACCACTACCCCTACCCCTACCCCTACTACTACCCCACTACTACTACCCCTACCACTACCCCTACTACTACCCCTACCACTACCCCTACCCCTACTACTACCCCTACCCCTACTACTACCCCACTACTACTACCCCTACCACTACCCCTACTACTACCCCTACCACTACCCCTACCAAGACTACTACCACTACCACTACCACTACCACTACCACTACCCCTACCAATACTACTACCACTACCACTACCATTACCACTACCACTACCACTACCACTGGGTCATGTGAGGTCACAGACTATCAGATAAACAGATAAACTAAAAAAAGAGTTCTAACCCTGCTCCTACTCGTGTCATTCCATTCTTCTTAATCGTATTTGATGGAAATGGCGCCTTGTGACAAATGTGGCGCATTGCGACAAAAGTGGTGCATTTGTAATTGTCGTTTAGCCATGCATCCTTCCACCGAATTGCACCTTTATCGGACAATATTTGACAAAGCTGTGCAATTTGCGGCAAAAATGGGGCCTTTAGACAAATGTGGCGCATTACGGCAAACGCGGCGCATTTGTGTTAGCGCAGTGAAAACTGTCTTTACTTACCGAAAATCAACACCTTCATTCGCCTGTGTTTATCAAAATAAATAAGCTGCCAATCCGGAAATGAGAAGCACCCGCCGCCGATCGTCATGCATTTTAGTTGCAAAGTCCATCAAACCCGGCTGCCGATGCCTTGAAGACCGAGCAAATTTGTGAAGAAATACGCACTTTTCCAGGGCGTGCCACGTGCGAACCATCCACCCCCCGGGACTCGAAACACGACACTGCACGTGCGCGTGACGTCATCAACACGTCGCGAAAATTTCAGCCCCATCGACCGCACCGTTTGACCTACACACGGCGTCAAAGCACCCCTCTGCACGGTGCAAACAGACACACAGAAACACATACAGAGTTTCATTTCACAAATAGTATAGTAGATAATAGGTAGTATATCTTTGGATCACCGATCATTTCTCGTGGAAAATTGATTAAAACGTGGGGTTAAGCTATTGAGACACAAATAATAGTAGAACATATGCATTTGAAACAGGAATGACGTATGAACATGAAAAACATGCAGTTGCGACTTTTCGGGTGATCTGACAACGAACGATGATCTGTCTTATTTAAGTAAAAAATCAGTATTTAAGGACTATTTACATGCGATCATGAATAACGATGCAGCGAAGGTAGGTTGTTACATGACCACCTTGCTGCGTCTTTTTCAACAATTTCCGGGAGATGGGCATTGGACCTTCTCCAAACGTAGGGCTTATTAACATTGCTGTTTAGTGAGAATGAGTCAGTCAATAGTGCTAGTGATGGCAGCATATTTGCATGGTACCTAAATATTCACTCACGCACATAACTTCACGACGCAACACGATATCACATGGGTATGACTGGAACTTGAATCGATGTTATCGTGGTACCCACCACTGCAACTGACCAAGCGGCAAGGAGTACCACTGGCAGTACCACTACCACTAGCATAGCGTACCTGACCTATCGGTACCACTGGCCGTACCACTGACCTAGCGGTACCACTGGCCGTCCCGCCGCTCCCAGGCCAGGTAAGCGGTCCCCGTGGCGGCCCTCCGTGCGCCGTACCCCACGCTGGGCTCACTGCGGGCGCGCTGGCGGGCGCCGCGGGGTCCCGGCAGCCGGTCACCACCCCCCAGCCCGGCGCGCAGCCGGCGGGCGGCGCACTCGGCGGCCAGCAGCAGGCAGCTGGCGGCGGCGGCCAGCGGCGTGATCACCAGCACGGCCAGCAAGTCGGCCAGCGTCAGCGGCCGGAACGTGACGTCATCGGAGCACTGCTGGTCGGCCACGCCGAACCAGCGGCGCTTCAGGTGGTCCAGCGTGCCGGCCTGCATCAGACGCTGCAGGCTGACAGAGAGGAGGAGCGGAGTCAGCGAGAGAGGGAGAGAGAGGGAGGGAGAGAGAGGGAGAGGGAGAGATAGAGAGAGAGAGAGAGAGAGAGAGAGAGAGAGAGAGAGAGAGAGAGAAAGGGAGAGGGAGAGGGAGAGATAGAGAGAGAGGGAGAGATGGAGAGAGAGGGAGAGCGAGGTCAGCGAGAGAGGGAGAGAGAGGGAGGGAGAGGGAGAGGGAGAGAGAGGGGGAATAAAGAGAAGCTAGAGGAAGAGAAAGATCATGACGACGAAACGTGTGTAAGACCTATCTACCTATAGTAACCAGTTAGCAGGTAATATCTGGGCCGACGGTAATATTTTACACGATAATGACGACACAGTTACAATGCATCTCTCTAAGCGATGCACAAATAGGATAATGGCCGGTAGTTCTATATAGGTATATGGCGTTGACAGGTCGCTCCCCGGTTTCCCGTTATGTGGGCCATTGGTCCCATTTCTTGCGACTCAGCGACGCCACTGAAGTAAGACATGAAAGGGGTTAATGGACCAAATGCCTTCATACAACGAATAAATGGCACATGCAGACCAATTGTGGCTATCAAAACACGACCTGACCCAATTCAGACTTCTTTCTAAGGATGAATATGTTGGTTCAAGTAGGTGACGCGGCATTCATTACATGATAAATCCGGGGAAAAGCACATGCTCGCCAGCTCCTACGGAAAAAAGTTGCCGAAAAAGCGCCTGAATTTTACTTGTAAAGCAGTGCAAAATTTGCACATGGAAGTTCACTGTCCAGCTCGATTCTTAATAAAATTTGAGAAGTTTTTTTTAGCCTTTCCATGGACCCTTCGACTACTGGACCAGTGTATCTGCCCAGGCGCCGAAAACTTTAGTAGGCGCCTCTGTGGGTACTGAGTATATGAACTACAATAGTCTTTGAGGTCAGCAATATACAGGATTAGAGGTCAGCACATCATGTTGGCGAGAGAAGTCATATTGCGCCCTGCCCTGTTCATGCACCACACCTTCCTCCTGCCCAAAATTCGATTCGAACGAATACCCGAATGTGTGCGTTTACTTCACCACCTATAACACGCTCTTCTTCCGGTCCACGGGGGCAGGTGAGGTCTCTCAGCTTTCTCGCAGACCATTTTTTTGTGATTTTATCTATTCTTTACGCGAAACAGTATATTCCGACCTTTGCTACTGTCATGGTTTATCTTAGAGATAGTGATTCAACTATTATCATTGTTAATTGTTCGTTTAAAGGCAGTTTTGAACGCTTATCACCACTGTGGCTTCGCTGTCACCCCCATGTTTCAAGGTCATGAAAAAAGCATTCCATTCGTAATTGCGCCCACCCTATTTGCGCCCTATTATTCTTCAACCCAGAGAAACAGCATCTGGTGGTTGGGACACATTTCATTGAACACTTTAACCCGCGCCCTGGTGGGGGGCTATTTTTTGCCCCCCTCCAGACTTTCGATATATCTCCAGAACCGCTGCGCCGATCGTCACCAAACTTTCAGTACCCTCCCGGATATCAATTTTACACATTGTGACCAAAAATTTTCCAAAGGCTACGATAGGTTGGCCGGAAATGACGTCAGAGTGACGTCATGTTCTGCCGTTTTCGACCAAAAAAAGGGTTTCGCGGGAAGAGCTGTCAGGCCTATAGCTTTGCAAATACAGAAAAACGATAGAGACATAAAAGCTGTAGAATTGACAGGGCTACAAAACTGCTATCTCGGATTTTTGAAACTTTATGGATTTCGACCCAAAAAAAAAATAGATTTTTTGAATATAATAGCCGAAAAATCCAAAAAGTTTTTTGAATTTCGCAAAAACCGGAACATATGTGATAGTTCTTACCGCCTTCTATCCACATACCAAATTTGAGATTGATACCTCTTTTTTGGCGAAGTTATAGCGAAAAAAACTGTTCAAAATTGATGACAAATTGTCAAACTCATTTTTTAGCAATTCTAGCCCTAGAACGCCTAGGGGGGGGGTTGTATCAACCCCCCCCCCTGAGGTTTTTTCGAAGTGCACGCTAAACGGCTTGTCGTAGCGGGCTGAAATTTTCAATACCCTCTGGGGCAACCTTTGCGCATCTTTTGCCGAAAAAAAATTGATCGGGTCATGTCAGGTCACGGAGTTATGACGTCATAAGAGGTACAGCCTCCGGCCGACAGTTACCAAACGTGTGCGCCGAATCCCTAGGTTTTCTGCCGGTGATACCCACATTGTTTGATGGATCATGATGAAACTTCCCATGCATGTTGGGGCAAGCATTGGCTATCGTGTGGTGCAAGAAAATTGACCGGGTCAGGTCAGGTCACGGAGCTATGACGTCACAAGAGGAACAGCGTCCGGTACTTTTTTTGAAAAGCGCCCGAACCACTATTTTGCTAATTCTTGTCACCTCAATGGGAATATGCAGCAATATTAGCTTCTATAGGGAGCAAATGGACCTCCCAAATCCAAAAATACAATCAGATTTCAAAAATTTAAATTTTGATTTTTCGAATTTCTGCCGCCGACTGTGACCTTGCCGACTTCCGGCGCTCCCAACGCGCCATTTTTAGAGCTAGGGAAACGAAATACATACCAAACGATAGAGAATTGATCAAGAAACACGATAGTGAAGGTTTTAAGTCGATATCTCCCACCGTTTTGCCGCAATCGCCGCGGAAAATTGAAAAAGTTTGATTTTTTCGGAAAATTTGACCTTTGACCGGTCATAAGTAGGTCAAATGTTGACCTAGGACCAAAAAATATACCACCAATCGCGAGATCTCGTTGAGAGCAATCCGTTGGTTTTTTCCGCTAAGCTCTACGACCTTCCGTTTCGAAACGCCAGGGGGGGGTCGTAACAACCCCCCCCCTGGTCGTTCGTGTTATGAGAAATGGCCTGGTCGTGCGAGGGCTAGACCCCGTAGCGCAAAACAAAGACCACCATTAGACTTCCCGTGACGAGCTGCATCTAATCAATACCCATTTTATGCAAAACTAACAACTTTAAAATTTGACCTTTTTTTACCTGACCTTGACCTGACCTTCACCAGAAAGTGACCTAAGCCGTACCTGATAGTCTTATAACCAACACCATTGAGTTGGAAATGAAAAATTGGCCACAAAACATGCATCGCACAACCTTTGTACCTAAAGTTAGGTTCATGTGACCTGACCTGTGACCCTTGGTGACCTGACCTGTGACCTGACCTGGTATTTTCAGTGACCTCTTATAGCAACATATGTACTGGGCAACTGACGCCCTATCGCTGATTCTCGACAAAATGCGTTTTCTTCGGTGTTATAGCGCATTCCCTAGAAGACCCGTGAACGGTGAAACATTTCATCTTTGACCTGACCTGTGACGTCATCGGTGACCCCGAGGTCAATGAAATTTGGTTTCGTTCAACAAATTGGATAGGCCTTTCGAACGCCGTTTGAATTTTGCGGATCCGTGCAGTAGTTTCGGAGATACGAGGGGGGGGGGGAGGGGGCAAAAAATAGCCCCCCCCCCCCCACCAGGTCGCGTTATAAACAGACCCCACCAGGGCGCGGGTTAAACATTAGAGCGCTAACCTTACAAACCTTGTGTTCAAATTTCATTGACCTAGGTCAAACCGATGACGTCACAGGTCAGGTCAAAGGTCTGATTTTCACCGTTCACAAGCAATTCAAGAAATGTGTTGTAAAATCGAGTAAATTGGTAAGTTATTGAAAACCATCGAAGGTACATTGTTCGTCAAACAGATACTTTGCTATCCGAGGTCACTGATACCAGGTCAGGTCACAGAGGTCAGGTCACTGGGGGTCACAATATGAAAGTGTCGTGTGATACATGTTTTATGGTCCATTTTACATGATAAATGCGATTATGTGGGGCAAGCAGCCTTTGGGGCCAGCTTAGGTCACGTTTTGGTGAAGGTCAGGTCAAGGTCAGGTCAAATTAGGTCAAATTTCAAAGTTGATATTTTTGCATAAAATGGGTATTGATTCAATGCAGCTCGTCCCGAGGAGTCTAATGGTGGTCTTTGTTACGTTGCCCTACGTTGTCTAGAATTGCCAAAAATTGAGTAGTTAAAAAAAATTTGACGTCATCATTTTTGAACAGTTCTTTTTTTTCGCTTAACTTGGCGAAAAAACGAGATATCGATCTGAAATTTGGTATGTTGATAGAAGACGGTTGGTACTATCACATTTATTCCGTTTTTTGAAACTCAAAAAACATTTTGGATTTTTTTTTGCTAATATCTCCCAAAAAAATGCTTTTTTATTTTTGGGGGTCAAAACTCAAAATTTCAAAAATCTGAGATAGTAGTTTTGTAGCCCTGTCAATTCTACACCTTTTATGTTCAATCATTTTTCTGTATCTCCAAAGCTGTAGGCCTGACAGCTCTTCTCGCGAAGGTCTTCTTTCGGTCGAAAATGGCAGAACATGACGTCATTCTGACGTCATTTGTGGCCAACCTATCATAGCCTCTGGAAAAAGTTCTGGTCACAATGTGTAAAATTGATGGTCGGAGGGTTCCTGAAAGTTTGGTGGCGATATCTCCAGCCGTTTAGGAGATATCGACGGAAAAGGACAGGGGGGGGGCGTTCCCCCCCCCCCACCTATACGGGACGCAGGTTAACCCGGCACCGCCTGGGCTATTTCCGTACCCACGACAGCCGGGGGGGGGGGGGGGTCGGATCCGACCCCCCTTGTTATCTCGAGAACCAATGGTCGTATCGAGCCCCGCGAGGCGGCGTTCGAAAAGTCTCTACGAGACCTTCCCAAATCACTCTTAAGATTTTAAGATTGAGGTCAACTTTCGGGTCAAGGTCAGGTCAAAGGTCAAATTCTGGGGTTTTGCATGATTAGGCTTACGGACAGCGGAATCGATAGCTGCTGCTCGAAACTTACCAAAAATGACCTCAAAGACCTAGTAAAGGTACCATGTGCGTATAGGGGTCATACTAAGTACGGGTCAAGGTCAGGTCAGGTCACGAAAGGTCACG